TCACTCACTCACTCACTCACTCACTCACTCACTCACTCACTCACTCACTCACTCACTCACTCACTCACTCACTCACTCACTCACTCACTCACTCACTCACTCACTCACTCACTCACTCACTCACTCACTCACTCACTCACTCACTCACTCACTCACTCACTCACTCACTCACTCACAGAGAAAGGCTAAATTCAAATGAATCACCTCATACTAAAGTCATTCCTAGAGTGCTTGATAGTTACCAATAGACACACATTCCAATAATTCAACCTTGTACACACACATAACACACCTGGGTTTCAAATACAGTTTCACAATCCAGCCATTTGACCAATGTTTCATGATCTGAATAGCACTTTCTGTGCTGAATATCTAATAGTCCGTTATAACATTCAGAAGCACAAGACATCGGACATGTAATACAGATGACAGTTTAGTGTGTGGATATGAGATATATTTGTAGATATTTGTATGGGGGGTTGATATACACGAATGAGGGACTTTGTGGATATCAGTTAGGAAGGGAATGTGTTGATGTCTAGCTGGGCCATCAAATCAAAGAAGGCGGCTTGACTATCCATAGAAGCTGAAAATGAATCCCAGTGACGCTTCTGTTTTATCAGTGAAAGACTGTGAGATAAGATGTAAGTAGGTAAACATTTAAAGGGGTCTAGAACTGCCTTTGTTTTTTTTATTTTGTACTGTTCTGTGACGTCCACTTGTGATGGTATCAAGATTTTTACATAAAAAAAATCATCATTTAGAAGTAATAGGCTATTTTCTGTCCTGTTTTCACCCCCCTCATCAGAACGCTCTGTTTGAATAGGCGTGGAGGATTGTAGACTCAGAAGTAAACGCCCACTGATATGATTGGCTAACAGTTGTGTATGTTTGACAGCGTACATCCTTCAGGGATGGACAGACAAATCTATAATGATTACGTTATAAAAACAGTCACTTACACTTGTGTGTTGCGACATTACTGTCAGATCCAATATAGTCGGCACAGCATCTTCTTTTAGTTTCAATCTTTCTGAAAATCCTGCGTCGAATTGTGCCTTGTTTATAAACGAATCTGTGGGGGAAATCAAGTGAACAATAGACGAACTTACTGACGCGGTCTGGAATTTCATTAAAAATAATGTTCATTAGATAAAGGTTATCTTTTGGTTTTGTGTAGACCAGCTTTTGACTCTCACATTGCTTACCTACTACGTACGTGAATCGGTGGGCGGGGTTAAACAGACAGTGATGTAGATTCGATGGGCGGGGCTAAACAGGCAGTGACGTAGACTCTGTGGGCGGGGCTAAACAGGCAGTGATGTAGAAGCAGGCATTGATCATCTTCTGCAGAGGCGGTGTTTAGCCACACTATTACATCATAGAGTGGTACCTTCCACAAGCTGTGGTTTTTGCAGTTTTTAGACTAACAAGAAAGTCTTGAGTTCTGGAACATACAGAATGTTTCTAGCACAATTACCTCTTATATGTCAAAAGATCAAGGGAATTTTGATTCCTCAGTTCATGACCCCTTTAAAATATTAACTGTTTTACAACACAAACTTAAATGGTTACAGGAATATACAGTGATGCAAACTTGTCTTTTTCTGACTAATTTCTTAGCTTCAAATTAAAAATATATAGATTGTCATTTATGTGATGTAAATCATAACTGAATGTGACAAAACACTAACAGCTTTTTCGGGTTATTAGGCATACTATTAAGGCTGAATTTATGCATATTTTAAAATATTTATTCTTTCTGTTTCTTTATTCCCTTAAAATCTGGCCCCTTACTATGGCCCATGACTCTTGAATATTAACTATCAAATCTCATTTGTGCTTCTCTTTGTCACGATTGTTTAGAGGACTTTCAAGAAACAATGTCATTTGGGTTCATTGATGTGCAAATGGTATGTTGAGCTCTTAAGAGTCTCAGCACACGGACACTGGTCTGCCTCACCGGCAGCTGCTTGATGAAGCAGGGCATTATGGGTACATCTGAGCTGGAGGTGTGTGTGTGCCTAAATTGAGCTATTTATCTCTCGTGTACACAGTCAAAGCTGGTTAACAAAAAAAACTTTATATGGACCACCACGTCAATAAGACCATCCATATTTCATAGACGTTTTTACAGAACACTTGTTAGTTTTCTAATTAATGAAATAAAATGTATAAAAATGGGCTGATTTTATTTGCATAGTTGTGAATTAGTCAGAAGCGGCAAAGTGAGAATGAATCCTCGGAATGATCTGTTATTAACAGGAGGTGTGCTGTGATTGGCTGTAATTGTATAGTGAGAGGAAGTGAGGCACTTTGCTTAATGTGTCTCCATGGTTATTGGAGGCGTGGTTATCTGCATCCTGTGGGGTGGAGGTGGGGATGGGGTGAGAAAGACAGAAAGAAGAGAGGGGGATATATTTTTCCATTCGTTCCTCTCGCTGTTTCCTTTCATTGTTTTTATCTTATCCAGAGTTCCAGAGTGCAATCAATTGTGTTAAAATAGCAGGCCACGCTTTGGCGCAGATTTAAACACGCACACACACGCATAAACATTCACACTCACCTAAACACACACATACACATAATGCCTCTTTTATAGTGCTCTTTGATAAGGGTTCAGGCTCTTTCTAGATAGTATAAGCTATTAAAGATGTTTAAGCTGTCCATGACAAATAGAGATTTCATTATTTTTATTGATCATGCTTTCATGTTAATTAGGGACTGAATGATTCTGATTTTATGGTAAATCAACTTGCTTTTTGTTTGAATGTATTGAGTGCTTTTTTTGTATTATACATGCATCGCTGCTGAATAAAATTTTGGGGGTAGTAGTAGATTTCTTAATGTTTTTGAAGGAAGTCTCTTATCTCACCAAGGCCTCATTTATTTGATAAAAAAACAAAAAACAAAACATACAGCATACAGTAATTTAGTCAAATATTACAATATAATATAACTGCAATATAAATATTTTACAATATAAAATTTTAAAATGCAGTTTATTCAGAAATCTTTTATAACATTATAAATGTCTTTACTGCTCCATTGGAAATCTAACAAGCCTCCAACTATCTCTCAGTGGCTAGTGGATGCCATATTTTTCTAAAATTTGAAAAAATTGGATGTTCTGGGAAAAAGTCTCTTAACTTCTTAACTCCTGTTTGATATGATTGTTTATATAATGTATGTATAAATATTGTATTTCATTACTTATTTTTTCTTTATTTAGTATTTATTTATTTTTAGTATTAGTATTTATTTATTTCCTTTTCATTAGTGGTTGTGTAATATCTTTGGTAAAAACGATAACATTGCGTAATAATTTGTTTTCTTGTTGCAATGTTTGTTCTAATAAAGTATCGATATAAATGTCTTTACCGTCATTTTTGATCAATTTTAATGAATCCTTGCTGGCTAAATGTATTACATTCTTTTAAAAAAAAAATCACTCATTCACATTTGATTTTTTTCCCCCTCTTTCCAGATCAGTGTTCGTGTGACTACGATGGATGCTGAGCTGGAGTTTGCCATCCAACCCAGCACCACAGGGAAACAGTTATTTGACCAGGTGTGTGTGTGTAAATTTTTTGCGGATAAATTTTTTTTTTTTTTAAAGAATTTAATAGCTTTTCTTTTGGTAGCACCGCCCACATTAAGATCTTATTAATTCAACATCCTGCTCCTCATAAGCATGCATTAAATGTCTTCTGAGTGGCTGTGAATACATCACATTCAGTGTGAGCAGATATATTGACTTGCAGTGGAAACTTAAGACCGTGACAGAGAAGCTGTGTCTGTGTTTAGATTAAGAACTGGAAATCCTTCTTGTGAGGGAATTCTCCCTTCCTCCACCCTTCCTCTTTCTGACTCTGCTTCTTCCTCAGGCTGTAATTCTGTACAGTCCCCTCTACCTCACTCTTAGTCACTCTGTACATCATGTCTATGAAGTCACTCTTTCGTAAACTTGATAATAGGCAGCTTTGTTCCTGAGCAACCTTTAATTTCTCTCTCTCACACACACACACACACACACACACACACACACACACACACACACACACACAGAGCATTCATTCTTCGGGCAGTTGTGTAGGTTGTGGAGTTCCATTATTTTTTCCAGCAGGATTTAGTCTTCAGTTTGAGTCGAGGGTTTGAGATTAGCAGGTCTCCTGTTGTAATGATACCAAAGCTTTAGAAGACTATACCAGTACTACTGAAATTTCACCATACTTGTTACCATCTTTCATACAACAGCAAAAAAAATTATATGCTACTGAGTATTACACTTTAAATATATATATATATAAAAAAAATGTTAAATATAAATTTAAAATGTTAATATTATCAGATTAAATTACAATGATGGTATTTAAGTCTCAATAATATTTTTAGTGTATCAGTTTCGATATTTTAATGTTCGTTCAAGTAGTTCATCAAGACAAATGAACAGTCAGAAATAAATATCTATTAGGGTGCATGTACACAAATTCGATATTTGATATCTGATCATTTGTCCTATCTGTTTTACATTCTCTTAAGACCAATGGTATGCCACCACCCAAAGTTTTTTTTAATGGAGTTAATTCTTTTATTCTGCAATTTATTGAATTACATTTGATCAAAAGTGAGAGACATTTACAATATTACAAAAGCTTTCTATTTAAAATAAATGCTGTTCTTTTGAGCTTTCTATTAATTAAAAAAAATCCTGAAATAATCAAATTGTTAACAAAAACATTAAGCAACATAACTATTTTCAAAATTGATAATTATAAAAATATTTCTTGAGCGCCAAATCAGAATATTAGAATGATTTCTGAAGCATCATGTGACACTGAAGACTGGTGAAAATTCAGCTTTGCCATCACATGAATAAATTACATTTTAAAATAGTTATTTTACGTTGTATTAATATTTCACAATATTACTGTTTTTTACTGTGCTTTGATTAAATAAATGCAGCCTTGGTGAACATAGAACTTTAAAAAAAATGTAAAATCTTACTGACCCCAAATTTTGAACAGAAGTGTTTCTAAATGTATATAACCAAGATGGACATTTTACCCAAAAAGTGAATTTGAGTGTTTGAAAGCAGAAACCTATCAGACAGTGTATAAAATTGAGTTTGTATTTGGTAATACCGATACAGTACTACTATCAGTTCATTACTGTATTACTGGTACTTTTGAACATCTCTAATCTCTATTGTACTTTAGTGTGTGATTGTTTTGAATATAAATAAATGTGTGTCCAGGTTGTGTGTATCCAACTTCCTGTTAATTGTCCTAAAAAAAAACCCTATCCTAATCATCCAGCAGTGCAGACAGCATGATGTTATATTCAAAAGAGACTGATAGAAGCATCACCTCTTTCTGTTTACAAATCATATATAAACCCAGCTGCCTCCTCCCCATTATTTTCTCTTTCTCCACATTAGCTCATCGCTGTCTTTCATTCTCTTTCTTTCTCTGTCTCTTTTTAACTTGCATAATTTTGAGACACAGTATGGTCTGACTGGTGCAGTTGTGAGCCAGCATTTGACAATACCTCACATTTTCCATTGCTGTCTGTCTCACACACCCTCTTGACCTAGAATAGCGAGTGTCTTCTTGTGTGTATGTGGTCACATTCATAGCATCTCTTGAGCATTCCACCCCTGCTTTAAAGCTAAATACATAAGGCAGTGATTAAATAGCTGAACATTTGACCTCTTGGAGGCACTGCTGGTTTTTACTGAAGTTTAATTCAGACATCTCTGTCATTAGTGTGGAAGTGTGGAACAGGTCCAATGATTCTTTTAAAGGACATTTAGCCAAATAAAAAGTGCATTAAAATAATTTGTAGTTATTTATTTTAAAATAATTATTAAATTAGCACAACTACATTGTGAATGTTAAATATATGGTCCAGTCCCAGCTGTAATGCCACTTTTTCCATGTCCATGAAGAGGAATTTGAGCTTCAGTCTCCTTTTCAGATCCCTCTATTAAAAAAAGCAAATGTGTGTGTTATGGGTGTGTGAAAATGCTATTTCATTTAATATGCCTGTTTATTTAATATGTGTCTGTTTCATAGGTGGTGAAAACCATTGGGTTAAGGGAGGTGTGGTTTTTTGGACTGCAGTACCAGGATACCAAAGGCTTTACCACCTGGCTTAAACTCAACAAGAAGGTATGTGTGTGTGAATGCATATAGCATTTTAGTATCTCATTAGCACCAGACTTCATTTTTATACAGCTATTTATTTTTTGTCATGAATATATTTTGTCAGTATTTCATGTCATCAAGTTCATTTTACTATGATATCAATGGTGCATCATTTCAGTAAACAAAAACATTTGAATCGTGATTATAATGTGCAAAATTATGAAACGTTAAATTCTGACAGACTAAACTTTCGAAGATTTTTGATCATGGGTGCTGACACGCAGATGGAATTAATGACTGAAAGTGATTCTAGTTTATTCTTTGTTGCCTAGGTTATGGCTCAAGAAGTCCGCAAGGAGAGTCCTTTGCTGTTTAAATTCAGAGCAAAGTTTTACCCTGAAGATGTTTCGGAGGAGCTGATTCAAGAGGCGACTCAAAGACTCTTCTTCCTTCAGGTCTGTGTGTATTTACATTATCACTGTACGTCTAAGGTAAAATTAAATGCACGATGTGGCCTTAGATATGTTCATATAGAAGGCATGCCAATTGGAGTGGATTGAAATAAGCTCTGGTCTTGGAAAGTGATAATGTGATTGTGATATTGCACTGATCTGGTGGTCAGTGAAGGAATTGTACCACCCGGTTCGCTTACAAGCCAACATTAAAGGAACACTCCACTATTTTTGAAAATAGGCTCATTGTCCAACTCCCCTAGAGTTAAACAGTTGAGTTTTACCGTTTTCGAATCCATTCAGCCGATCTCCGGGTCTGGCGGTAGCACTTCTAGCTGTAGCTTAGCATAGATCACTGAATCTGATTAGACCGTTAGCAAGCCGAATGGATTCGAAAACGGTAAAACTCAACTGTTTAACTCTAGGGGAGTTGGAAAATGAGCCTATTTTCAAAAATAGTGTAGTGTTCCTTTATAGCATTTCTTACTTTGAAACAGTTCCATTGTTGGTTTACTTCAGGTGAAAGAGGGGATCCTGAATGATGATACCTACTGCCCCCCGGAGACTGCAGTGTTGCTGGCATCTTACGCAGTGCAGGCCAAATATGCTGACTACAACAAGGATGTTCACACTCCTGGATACCTATCCAGTGAGAAACTGCTCCCACAGAGGTGTGCATACACAGATATTGTAGTACCAGTGGGGGCTAGTGCTTCTCCAGAGTGAGGGTGTGCAGATGACTGACAGAAAGTGTGCTTTGATCTGTTTTCTTATGTGGTGTATGCAATGCTCTAAAATCAGCTTTTCTAAGCATTACTAAACTACTTAATGGAAGAAACTAATAAAACTCAGAAATCTATTATAATGACAGTATGATTAACTATACAATATTTACAAATGGCAGTAGACAACATTATGGTTGCTGAAGGCAATAATAATTGTGTACATTTAAATAGCAAAATTTAAATTCTATTCTAAAAAAAAATAGACATTATATATAATAAAAAATCTATTAAAGTCAAATTAAAATATTAAGGCTATAAATATTAAAGTCTTGACTCTTTAAACACTGTGTATTAGTTGTTTTTAAATTTCAAACCATGTCAGTCACATACATCATTTCATTAGTTGATATTAAAGTATATGGTTTAAATATCAGTGCTGTGTGGTATCTAATCTATTAAATTACGCCTAGAGTGGTATATAATAAATAATTTGGGCTAGGGCTGCAATAATTAAAAAACAATAATGAAGATAATTGACAACGAATGTTTATTTTTATTAGTTCATATTTTATGTTCATGGGTCAAAGACGAAAAAGCATAAAAACAATAAGTGTAATACTGCTTTAAATTGTTGATGTTTTTCCCCAAAAAATGTAAAAAGTTTTCTGTTTAATTTAATTGCAATTTTGTTTTTGTTTTTCCGAGCAAAAAATAAATATCATACATTTTTCCCTGATTTACAGAAGACACCCACTAAAATGTCATTCAGTGTAACAATCTTGTCAGGCATATTTACAACGACATATTAAAAGACTAATTACTTTCACCCCAAATACTAATTAGTTGTCATTTTAAATTTTTTAAATTTGCCACTATCCTAAGTTTTGCCCATTTGTCAGTAAGAATTTTTACTAATTTAAAGCACAATAAAATGTAATATGCTCCCTTATTCTTTTATATATTTTAATATGTACACGGCAGAATAAGCATGTTGTTTGAATTTTTACATAAATATTGTGTTACACTGAATGACAATGTAACATTATTTCAACCAAATTTTAACATTTTATTCTCCAAAAACTTATTTGAAACCTTAAATGTAGACACTTTACTTACATTTAATGTGCTTTTTATGGACATAAAATCACTTTTGTAAATTTCTTTTGATGCGGTCATCTTAACGTCTTTGACCCTCATACATAATCTTAATTTTACACTGAGAAAATCCATATTTCTGTGAAAAAAATGCATTAAATAAATGGCAGAGGCCACCGTGTCTTGTGTAGGCTTAAAGCATAGTACGTAATGTTTTGTTAAAAGGTATCAGCCAGAGAACATGTTAAGAATGTGTTTGATATTCTGAATGTGAGCATGTGTGTGTAATCTTTTCTCTGCAGAGTTTTGGAACAGCACAAGCTGAATAAGGAGCAATGGGAGGAAAGAATTCAGGTCTGGCATGAGGAGCACAAGGGCATGTTGAGGTACAGCCAATACCTGGAATGTGCGCTTGCTTTTTTCTGTTTTATCGCTGACTGCAGTGACCCTGTCAATCACACACACCAGACAGAATGATAATGTGTATCTGTGTGTGTGTGTTTCAGAGAGGACTCGATGATGGAGTATCTGAAGATAGCTCAGGATCTTGAGATGTTCGGTGTGAATTACTTCAGTATCAAGAATAAGAAAGGATCAGAGCTGTGGCTGGGTGTGGATGCCCTGGGACTCAACATCTACGAGCAGAATGACAAGTACTTGCTACGTTTAACATTTAGAAACAGATTAATGGGTTTGAAAGGTGTCACAAATATATTTGATAATACATAATAACAAAATACCATATAACAATTTGGGGCCAGTAAGATTTTTATTGTGTAAAAGTAATAATTAAAGTGACAATTAACTTGTATTGTAACAAAAAAATTCTATTTCAAGTAAATGCTGCAGTAATCCTTTCTATTGTAAGTCGCTTTGGATAAAAGCGCCTTCTAAATGATTAAATGTAAATGTATATGTATTCTTCAAAGAATCCTAAAAAATGTATCATGGTTTTCAGCGGCACAACCAATTTCAACATTATTATAATAAGAAATATTTCTTGAGCAAATCAGCATATTAGAATGATTTCTGAAAAATCATGTGATGCTGAAGACTGGAGTAGTGGCTGCTGAAAATTCAACTTTGCCATCACAGGAATACAGGAACACAGTTTTTTATTTTAATTAATAATAATTCCAAGTTGTTTCATTTTCATGCTTTTGAAAGTCACCCAAATCAGAGTTTTAAACTGTATTAGATATTTCCCAAAATTTAGTAAATAAAACTAAATAAAATAAATAAACCTATTAAAAGTTTCAGGCATCTTGTAGCCTAATCATGGAAAGTGACATTTATTTGTGTGCCGAAAAACCCTGACTCCTCTCTCCTCCTCTCTTTCCAGGATGACACCTAAAATTGGTTTCCCCTGGAGTGAGATCAGAAACATTTCTTTCAACGATAAGAAATTTGTCATCAAACCCATTGATAAAAAAGCCCCGGTATGTCAAACAAGATTTGTGTGACTTATCACAGTTTCTGTTCAGTTTCTTTGCAAACAGGGTGTAGACGAGAGGAACGCTGTTCTTGCAAAGCAGTGGAGCAGTGTAATGTTTCATGATGCGATTTGAGGATGGTGAAATCACAGTGAAGAGTTTCCATTGAAGCTACACGCTTCTCTTTCTTACACTTTACCACAGACATAAAGAGTCTGGATGTGGATGTGTCTCTCTTTTTTCCCCCATTCTTCAGTATTTCCTGTAGCTCCTGATCCCTCACTCCCTCCCCCTTCTTTCTTTGGCTCTGTTCCAACCTTAGGGAGCTGTGTATGTAGGCAGCATTTTAAAGGGGTCATATGATGTTGCTAAAAAGAACATTATTTTGTGTATTTGGTGTAATGAAATGTGTTTATGCGGTTTAAGGTTAAAAAAACACATTATTTTCCACATACTGTACATTATTGTTTCTCCTCTATGCCCCGCCTTTCTAACACTCGTTGATTTTTACAAAGCTTATCGGTCTGAAAAGCGAGGTGTGCTCTGATTGGCCAACTATCCAGTGTGTTGTGATTGGCCGAATACCTCAAGCGTGTGACGGAAATGTTACGCCCCTTACCACATTGTGATGCCGTGTCCTGGAGAGACAATAACATTAAAACCCATTATAAACGAGGCATTTGTTGCATCCAGTGGGGACATAATTACTGATTATAATGACTTATACTGTCTTTTAACGCACTGCGTTGCATCTCGCCGCGTAAACATAAAACCATGTCTGCATTTGGGATCGGAGAAATGACAAACAACAAGCCCTACTCTACACTGCCCAAAAAAACTCGCTTTAAATATATAAAATATAAAAACTCTTTAAATATAAAAAACATACTTACAGTATGAGTCAGAACAGCCGGAATTGTAGTCTACTCTCCCAGGATCAGGAAACGGTCTTCCATAAAATGTGCTGCACACATCTGAATATTTGGGTTG